GTCTGTGTATATATATATATACATACATATCTCCAGTATCCCCCTCTCTATTTCTATCATTTTTCTATCTCTCATCTATCTAGACATAGCTGTTTTAATGGTTAATTCTGTGCCTTGCCCAATCTATAATTTACTAAATGCAGATGTGCTGCCATACTGATAAACTACTGGAGAGAAACAAAACAAAAAACCCCAAACCCCTGAGTTTTCCAAGTTTAAACTTTCCCCCTTGGAATCAGGGTTTTGTCTTGCCATTGATAAGTCTGCCCCACCAGAACATCAGCTCTTAGCACCTTTCCAAATACCTTTGCCATCTGTAAAGAGAGCCACACGTAGGACTAATTTTTAAAATTATACTGCCTGGCATTCTGCCTGCCTGCCTCTCTGGCTCTCCTGGTTGCTTGTCTCTTTGGTAGCCTATGTTTCTACCATTCCTTCCAAACATATGCAGTACTCTAAGTGAAAATTATCATGCAAGATAAAAGTGAGGATGAAGTCATTCTGTCTGAATTCTCTTCACATGTCACATTAGCACCTGATGGCAATGGCCAAAAACAGAATTGTGAATCATATTTTCTGGTTTTGAATTAAATATTCAAGACTGAAGTTCCCTAGGAAGCTCAGGTACTTGGCTGACACCCATCTCTACCAGTTATGAGAAAGAACAGATAGAAGTTCTCATGCCTGAGCCTGCGTGGTCCAGCATGAAACCCCCTGCTCTGAATCTTACACAGGTGACCTGGAAATTAAAGAATAGCTGGTCTCCTGACCAAGGGCAAAGTACTTACTGGGTGTAACAGTGACTCTAGTTCCTGTCCCAAAGATTAAGTTGTTGCTTCCATAGTTAGACACACAGAGTTCTAAGTCATTACAAAAACCATCCGTCCAAACTCTTTACCCTGTACTGGAGCCTCCCCACCCATTTCTCGTGCTTCTCCTCCCTGCCATGCTTCTATGGCCTCAAAGCCACCAGTGACTCTTTTGTACCATTCCCTGCTGGAGCAACTGAGAGAGAAACTGAGATAAAAGGCTAGAATTAGGAGAGGCTTTGACATGTGAGGTCTGTTTTGTTTTTTTCTGCCAAATTTTCCTTTGGAGAGAACAGAAATTCTCGTTCTCTGTCTGGGTGCTGTCAGCGATCCCTGGGCTCCAAACTCAGCGACGAGCCTGGACACTTCTGCCATCTTGCTCACCCCCAGATTTGAATTTTTTCCCAAATTGTCCCATTTCCCTTTTCTAGCCTTCTTTTTTTTTAAATTTTTATTTATTTTATGATAGTCACACAGAGAGAGAGAGAGAGAGAGGCAGAGACACAGGCAGAGGGAGAAGCAGGCTCCATGCACCGGGAGCCCCACGTGGGATTCGATCCCGGGTCTCCAGAATCGCGCCCTGGGCCAAAGGCAGGTGCCAAACCGCTGCGCCACCCAGGGATCCCCCTTTTCTAGCCTTCTGACCCATTTTCTCTCAATTGACAGCTGTCCCTCAACTTGCTGCTACAGTGGCTTCCTCCACAAAGGGCCACACGTCTCTGGTCAGTGCAGAAGTGAGGGGTCAGCGAGGGGACAGCCTGCTCCCTCCCCCTGGGGATTTTCAAGGCGGGGGAGGGGAGAAGGGAAGGGGAATAAAGACCTGTAGAGCCATAAATCATTCTTGGAGTGGAGGGGAAGGGCTCTCCACTATGTTCCAGAGAAAGTTATGCCTGGGAGCAGAGAAATAGAGGAACAGACTTTTGACAATGCTTGCTAGAGATTCCAGGTCTTGCTCAACACCACCCTGATGGAAAATTTTCTTTGACTTACTTGGAATGACAGTCAAACTTGTCCCTCTCCCAAAATAGAAGTTCTGGTTACCGGTGTTCCACTGTGATAGGAAGCTCAACAAAAACCAGGCAGATGAGAGAGCCAGGGTCACACCTGGGGCCCCACCTGGCCCGCCCAGCGAGCAGGCAGCGGGGCAGGCTGGCCAGCAGGTGGACCATCTCAGGGCTTAGAGCAGCTGTGACCATGTACTACTGGAGGGATTGAGCCCCTTGAGAAGGGATAAGAGGAAAGGCTAACGTGCATCTGGTGCTGTTTGCTAGCTAATTAAAGGTGTTGGTCCATTTGTTTTATGCCTGGGTATTTAAAACATTCTTTTTCTTTTAAGATTTAATTTCTCTCCTGATGATCCTATGATTTTGAAGTGCATTTTAATTAGGTCTCTTTATTACATCTTTTGAGTCTGGGAAAGATTTTATTTTTCTGTGAGATTTGGGGAACAATTCATTGTCTCCAGAACAATTCCATATGAGGCTCTGATCACCTTGCTCTTTTCCAGCCCTGCTTGTTTCCCCTGGAACACCCCTGTTATGCATTGCCCATTGTCCATCCCTTCACCCCGCCCTGTCCTCCATATGCAGTGAGCCTGCGTGGGGAGGACACACAGGTTGGTGACTTGATTTTTGAACTGCCATTTGCAAGTCCTGAGCTCTGCGTGCTGACTTTTAAGGACTCAAATTACATCTGCCGCTATTTGACTTTTTTTTTTGGTCCGATTAGAGTTAATATACCTTGATTCTCTCGGCACAACCTGTTGAGGCCCATGCATGTGATGATTAGCCCCACCATACAGGCAAAGTCATGGGGAGACTTACTTGGAATGACTGATAAGCTTGTCCCCTGCCCAAATGTCAACTTGTTGGAAGAGGTTGTCACACAGCTATGCAACCCTTTGCAATAACTGACAGGTGACTCTAACAGATTATAGACCCCTATCTCTCCATACCACTTCAAAAGGCATCTCAGGTACCTATGCTGTGGGGTTGCACTTAGGCCATATTCTGTAGGGCACGATAGGAAACTTGCTACAAAGGTGTGCTTCTCCACCTTGGATTCCAATTTCTGACATGCTGAAGGTTTGAAAAAGCATCAGTGAGCTCTTGTCTCCTCTTCCCTTCTCTGTTATTCCCTTATCCACAAAACATCCCAATCTGCATCTCATTTCCATCTCCAAGCTCTAGCATGGTGATACCAGGTCCTCAGGCACCATTGATCTGCCTTCTCTGAGACAGCATATGTTTCCTAGCATGCCGTGATTAAAAGACTGGAAATGCCAGGCTCTCAGAGGCTGAGATCTGGGCTCCTTGTTCCTTTATCTCTGGTCAATATGTTGTCCTCATTTGTCTGGCTAATGAAGAATTGACCTTTCTAAGTGGGTGCGTTTTGCTGAAATGACAAGGGCCCGGGGGGCTCCCAACCAAAGCAGAGCTCTGAAGGCAGTTTTGGCTTTTCAGACCCCGTTGGCATAGTTCAGTCAAAAGGATCCCAGGCCCAAATGTCAACCTCTTGGCTTTGGCTCCCATATGCCTGGACTTGGAGAAATTCAACAAAAACTGGGCAATTGGTCTAACACACTCCCTACTCATTAGAACCAGACTTCCCTTGGAGGCATCTTGTACATTCAAGATGATCATAACAACCCGACATTCTGCCTTACAGTGGGGCTGGCACATTCTAGCTCCACACCGAGCTGACATGGACTGATGCTGCCACTCAGTGGAGCAGATAATGTTGGGGATGTCAGATAATCTCCTCTGCACACCCAAAGCAGGGACGCAGCCTCACTGACTATGCCTGCACAGAAGAACATGGCCTCCACTGTCATCCCTTCGGCCTGGGAGACCCTGTCCTGCGTGGAGATCCTGAGAAAATAGAGTGCCCCGACATAGCTGTTGGAGTGATGACATCCTGCTCTTGCGCCCACCTCCCCATCCTAGTCTTATCAAGCCACCGAGAAAGATACATTCCTATCTGGTTACCTTTCTCCCTTCCTGTCTCTCATTCCTTTCATTTCTCACTTCTGAGCATCCAGGGGGCTCGATTTTCCTTGCTCCATTTTTATTAGACTCTATTAGAATCCCTGCAAGAGAGACCCAAAAGGCCTCAAGGGCAAAAATGCACGGGGGACACTGAGTGTGGATCTTTCCAGCTTGCTTGGCTGCCGGTTAGTCTCATCTCCTTCTTAAGTATCAGCTTCTCAGAGCTGTCACACTTCTCCTTGCAGCAGGGAGTTTTATAACAAATGACAGAAGGAACTTTATGAATCTCAAAAAAAAAAAAAAAAAGCCGAAAAAAACCAAATCCAACCAGTCAGAGTTTTTCCTCTCTTCCCAGTGGGGTGCAGCAGCAAACACACCAAAGCCAAATCTTTCTATCTGCTCTAATTATCAGCAAGGATACAAGTCACCATGAGGAAAAATGTATTAAGCCTTGTATCTGAAACTCTTTGGATTTAATTGTAATCCTTTGCTTGGTGATTTCAGTGATAGGAATGGACACAGTGGTTGTGCGATTCTTTCCGTTCTGTGTGTGTGCGTTTTTTCTCTCTTTTTGTAGTTTTGCATCTACAGAAGCAGTGGGAGACATTCAGAGAACATAGAGGGATTTGAAATAAGACCTCAGATTCCCATTCAGTTTTCATTTTTTCCTTCTCTGCTTTCATTTAAAACCCATTCTGAACTGAATGCCTCATATCTATTCAAACTTTGCTCTCAATTATCCCTCTCCATTGCAGAAGATACCAGTGGGAATGGCTTCAGCTACACTAAGAATTTAAGATTGATGTGAGGAAGAACTTCCTGATGGGAAATGGTACTAAGTGGTAGACTGGTTTACCCCGGGGAGAGTCGACTGGAAAAGGTGACTCTTCCCCCATCCCACCCTCAACGCCCCTAAAGTTGTGCATCATCTCCAGAGAACACTCTGAAAGCAGTGAATATTCTTTTCTACCTTTTCTAGGTCAAAGTTAACTTCACTCCACAGCAGGGATCAGATAGACCTGATGGCTGAGAGTCCCAAAAGGAATCTGTTAATATTGAGATTAAGGAAGGAACAGGACCTTGGAGGTGACTAGTTGACTTCAAGCAGGATCTGGTTCCCAGGCAACATACATTTCTCTTAAACCTGTTACCAGGGGTGAAATTCCAGAATTTCCAGTATGCTGCTGTGTCCCGTTACACTTACTTGGATGGACGGTCAAGAAGGTCCCTTGTCCAAAGGTCAGCTTTCCATAGCTGGAGCTACCAGTATTAGCACCGCAGTGGATGCCTTTACAAAAACCCCAGGGGGAACTCTGAGGCTCATAGACATCTTCCTCTTTACCTCTGGGGAGAAGAGACTCACCTCCAGGGGTCTGAATCTGGGGCTGTTTCTTCTCACTGAGGGCCAGAGGAACATTTCCATGTCAGGTCCTGAGACACTGACCTGTTGCATCCTCCGAGGGCCTGACTCCCTCTCTCTCTCTCCATTTCCTCTGGTTTCAATCTTGAGGCTTCCTGATTTCTCATGTTCAGCATCTCTCTTTCTAAAGGTCTCATTTCCATTTTACAGCATCATTTTCAGGACAATTTCCCTGATCAGTTTTCAAGACATGTCCTCTCCTCCCTTCAAGGTGTCACACATTTCTGATGACAGTGAATTGATTATAAGGAGACAGGAGGAGAGTGATCAGCGTTTTGGAGGCTGACTAGAATCAGATGAGATTTAGGTTCTGGCTTCCATGAAACACTATCTCCTGAGCTCTCCTTCATGCCCCAGCAAAAGAAATGAAAACAACGGGCACATCTGAGCCTTTCTTCACGAGTGCACCTTTTCTATCAGTCTTGAACCTGGTGAGATGTGAGGGGGATCTCACGGAAAGTTTACACTGAGCTTATGGTGACCCGCTATCCTGGGGACCATTCTGGGGTTAGCAAAGAAAACCTTTGTCCCGGGAAAACCCTCAATCCCAGTCAAACTGGGACAGCTGGTCACCCTGTCTTACCCGAGGTGTCCTGACCTCACACAGAGCCCAGCGGCTGCAGTTGGAGAGTTAAGTGAGGCCTCTGTCAGAGACAGGCTCTTGCATGTTTACTTGGGGTTGCTATGAATTTCATTCTCTGGCCAAACACAGCTTCTACCGCTGACAGTCACAAGCACAGGAAAACTGGGGGTCCCTGTGGTGGTGTCTGGAGGACTCTAAAGAGGTGTAAGGAACCAAGTTGGGGCAGAGTCATTATTCGGTACAATGGTGACCAAACCCCATCCCCAGAGAAAATGGAAAACAAATATTTTAGCTCTGTAACTACATTCAACTTTTAAGCTCTTCAATCATCTTGACTGAATTTGTGCATCTGTCTAGTCATTTCTTCAAACAACTGCTTATTAGCAATGGGGCAAAGCTTAAGCTTGCTTACCAACACGGAAAGGGGGAGAGAAAAAGCTACTATTTAGTTAAGAAGTGTCCGTCTGCTTTAAGGGCAGCAGGCAGGAGTTCAAATGACCCTTCCCGTCTCTCCCCTACTTCACAGCCTCACAGAGCTCCCCACACCCTACTTCGGCTGCCATGACAGCAGGACATAAGCAAAACAGATGCCTGCCCTCAGTTGAGTCCTCAGACGGCGCCAAAGTGTTGCTGTGGCGGTAATCACTGCTCTGCTGATGGAAGGAAAACAGAATTTAATCATGTGTCTTTGGACTCCAGGTTTGTTGTCTTGTAGCCTCCGCATAGAAAGAGCGAGACACAAAAGATAAAACCTCCTGTCTAGTCTCCGGGCTCAACTGCCCACCCTCTGGAAAGGGATGTCCTTGAGTCTCCCTAGGATGTTCATGTGAATCCCCTCAAAGCCTCAATTAGATAGGACCCCAGAGATCACTGAAGGCATGGGATTTAACAATATCATGCATTATTCATTGTTTCTGTTGTTGCAGACATGTGCTGGTTTTGTCCCTGCTGAGCAAGGCACTTCTGGGCCTGACAACTTCATGGCTAACCACATTGCGTGTTCTTTAGACAGGGCCTATCCCAGAACATTCCATGCTGTCTGCTACCAGGGCCCATTAACTCCTTCAGTGCTGCACTCATTGCATCACTTAATTATTTACCCCTCCCTGCACCAGTCTTTTCAAGAGCTTTGACTAGGCTGGGTTTTGCAACACGTCTTTCCCAGTGTTGCATCCTCTCCAAATCCCAGAAAGCAGATCTGAATAAATGCCACTCAGCAACCAGGACATTTAGCTTATGTCAACAGGAGACTGGGGCCCTTCAACAGATTTACCCCATTTCCATTTTGCCCCAATTTTATGATAAGTCAGTCTTCCCAGCATTAGTGACTGAGCACTATTGTCAGAAGCCCACCAGAAACAGATTTTCAAGAAGTGCCAATAGCGACTGCAGCTCCTTACTTTTATATATAGCATGTGAAATTTTTCCAACGACTTACACACATGTTACTACCGTTATGGAAGGGTGGGTGTACATTTGAAGGAGAGAACATACTGCTCTGACTCAGAGGACAAATGAATTTTCTTCCCTTTCCTCTGTTGAACTAAGTAAAGAGGTAGCTCAATCAGTGATTTTAGTAATGGAGGGAAAAATGGGGTTAAATGCTCTGAGTTAACCAGATAGTTCCACCCATTGAGACCTCAGTTGTTGGACAGGGGATTGAGAACAGCTCCTTTAAGAGAAGTAGAGCAGAGGTAAAAGATGAAAAGAAATCTGTAGAATTTCCTACATTTGTTAATGAAATCACAGTGCCCCATTTTTCAGGCAATAAATTTAAGGGTTTTAGTATCTATATCAGGAAGATTTATATTTGGTCTCCTGAACTTGCATAGTCTCAATATGCCAATTTCCTCTCTATTTTTTGGTAAACATTTCCTGGCTTTAGCTGAATCCCTCAGGATCCTGTATTCAATGTTTCTCCTTGTACCAATAATTTCCTTTAAGATGGATGATAGGAATGTTTTTGGCTGAAGGTAATTTAGTCTTTGAACAATGGAGTGCTAGTCTCTCTGATGGAGACCATATCCTCCCAACAGAACATGAGTTGTAGAAGCAAATCTGGGATTTTTTTTTGAGGGGTTTGGGTGGAAACAAGTCATTTAAATCAGAAGAAAGAAGTGCTTGGGACTCCCCACCGCACCCCCTCGCTCTACTAGTCCCTTCAAACTTACTTGGATTTACAGTTAAGGGAGTTCCTTTTCCAAATGTGAATTTGTAGTAATCTACTGTTCACCATCAGGGAAGGCTTTACAAAAACAGGAACAGGAGCAGCTCTTGCAGAAGGGTCCCGGGGCTCACTATGGTCTTGATCCCTCAATCCTGTGCTAAACTACAGATTATTTGACAATAAACCCAGAAGTGGGATGCTGTAGGCAGAAGCCTGGCTTCCACAGGGCAGTGAGCCCTGATAAATATATGCATTTCTTATTTTTAAATTTTTTATTGCTTTTCTTTTTCTGACAAAGCTACCGCCTCAGTTTGGGTAATCCATTTCCTTTCCTCTTCCTTCATTGTCTACCCCCCGGCTGGCACTCACACAGCTTTTACTTTATTGTACTTTGGGACTATTTCTCTGCTTTTTATTGGACTCACTCCCATCAACTCATTTAGATTCTGGTTTACTAGAAACTAATTACGAAAGGAAAGGAGAGTCAGGGAGTTTTTAACGGGGACGTGTGGGAAGGTTTGAAGGTTTTGGGGTCATTTCCGGCCTGCTTACCTGGGATGGGCAAGGAGTACATGTGAGCTCTCTCATCCAGGGGCGCTCATGGGCCCAGCCTGGAAAGGCAGAGGGCCTTCACTTTTCATACTCACCAGGATTGACAGTCAGCCTGGTTCCCTGCCCAAACACCAACTTTTGGCCGCCACTCCCTGAGTCACACTACAGCAGATGGCTTTACACAAACTGCACACAGGGCCCCACTCTCCCCCTTGAGGACGACGTCTGATCTGCTTTTCTAGCAACCCAGCTGCTGTGGACAGTGGCCCGAATCTAACCAACTAGACAAGCTCAGGGCCACGTCACCTTGAGGCTGCCCTATTTTCTCCTGGACACAGTCTCCTTTAGGCTCCTTTGTAGATGTGTACCAGCTATTTAATCTCTTTGCCAGGCAAATATTTAACGTCTTTATTTCTACTTCATAGAATTTTAACATTTTTAAAAAACTTTCTTTCTGCCTCTGTAGAGCTCCCCCTAAAAACAGCTGGATTAAAAGAATCTTTGAAGACAGAATACTTTAGGTCTCCTGAGTGAAGTCAAGCTGGCTTCCTTCTTAAAATTTCTGGTTTGCATCCTAGGGACTGCTCACCTGGGACCTAATCCATCGGGCTAAGATAGGAAAGGTTAGGAGGCGAGGCAGGAAATCTAGGGGAAATCCTGCCCTGTGAGTCTTTCTTGTCCCTGCACACTTATTTGGACTTATTTCTGTGCTCGTTCTCTTCCTCCAGACCAGGACATTGCTAGCACTTGTCACTGACAGGGAGCCCTCCTCAACATGGGTTTTAGCAGAAACACATCCACGTGCCCTTTAGTCTGAAAACAGACGGGGTTTCTTTCCTCTGCTCAAGGAAATTTGACTGAAAAACAATTTTCCATTTTGCAAAGTGAAGAGGATTAGAAGAATCTCTGTTTGCCTCTGTTCTCCTCTTCAATAGTGTTAAACTATTTATAGAAACATCCCCTTTGGGGTTAGAGAAATGTGGCAAGTTTCTAATCTCTTCATCTTTTTTTCTTGCTATCTATTTACCGCAGTCATATATTTACAATCTAAATTTACATTTCATTTCCATTTGCAGGAGCTTTCCTATTACTTCCAGAACACTGTGTAATGATAAACTCTATTGAAATAAACCAATTCACAAAGAGTTTTTAGGGCTGGAGGTTGACATTTCTCTCTTCCCAAGACAGTTATTATTACTTTTCAGGGTGAGCCTAAGATAGGGACGGTCTAGCCAAGTGAGCAACCAGGCTTTCGGGGTTGATGTTCTTATGTCTAAATAACTATCTACTGAACATTGCTTCTTGGGATTAATTTGGATTTTCTTTTTAATCTAGTTCCAAAATGTCAGCTTCCAATCTTTATAGCTCTGAGAATCTCTCTGACAGGCAAAGCTTAAGGTAAATCTCATGGATGTTTTTTGAATCTCAACCAATATTTCATCTCTGTACATATCACAAACAAAGGAACCAAAAGAAGGATGAATGTAACACCTTTGGGAGAAAATTTATAACAGTTCTCCAGGAGAGATGAGAATTAT